TTATGCAGCCAGAAGAGTTCTGTACCTGATGCTAGATGGGCAGATCCTATTGGGGATAGACCCAAGGAACAACAGTCCCACCCAGCGGGCTGCCAACATCATATGAAGAGAGCTAAAGTAAAGGTGCCTTGGGCCTTGCTGCCAAACCTCAAGTTGAAAGAGTTTTAAAGTGACATGTCAGCTCTCTGCCTACTTCCCCTTAACTCTTCCTCCACTTTGAGCACATTCCTTGAATTCTAACTGGAAACATTTCTTCCTCAAAGCTTTGTTGGATATCATCTTCAATCCACAGATGCACTTGATCACTAATATACTGGGTTCCATTTTAAACTGTGGACTGAACTCTCCTCCCTCCTGTAGGGTCCTAAAGTGGGAAGCAGTAAAGATACTAAAGTGGGAATCAGAGGATGCATATTCCTAATTTGCTTCTCACTTTCTGTCTCCATTCAACATTGAACAATGAGTTTTGCTAAAGAGCTGAAGTCATAGAGTTCAGTGTTCCCATACTACAAATGAGAGAAAGAAGAGAAGACACTCACCCTCCCTGCAAAAGGGAGAAAAGTAGGAATAGGAGGGGAGAGACAGAGATGGGGAGAGAGAAGAGAAGAGATATGGGAAGAGGAAAGGACACCTCGAAGGAAAGAGACTTAACAGCTCTCTGAATAAGGAACCAGGTTCAAACAGATTCTGAATACAAGATGAATATTTTTCAAACATGTATGGCCTCCATCACCATCATAATACGACTTAAACAATGTGTTTAATTTCTTTATTTATTATTCTGGTTTATTTTTTATTTATTTATTTTTGTCGGTTGTGGGGCTTGAACTCTGGGCCTGATGCTGTCCCTCAGCTCTTCAGCTCAAGGCTAGCGCTCTACCACTTGAGCTACAATGCCACTTCCAGTTTTCAGGTGGTTTATTGGAGATAAGAGTCTCACAGAGTTTCCTGCCGGGCTGCCTTTGAACCTGACCCTCAGATCTCAGCCTCCTGAGTAGCTAGGATTACAGGTGTGAGCCACCAGCACCCTGCTTCTGGTTTTTTGTTGTTGTTGTTGTTGTTGAACTCAGGATTTGAACAAGTTGATAAGCACTCTACCTACTGAGCTTCACTCCAAACACAATCAAAATTTGAAATGTTGTTGTTGAAATACTAAACTAGCTAAATAATGAAATGACATCCTTATGCATGTAAGTTACAATAGATAAAATGACACACAGAGAATAAATGCTTAGTTGCTGAATATTTATATTTGAAGAAGTTAGTTGGAGAGTTTTAGTTTTATAAAGGAGATTTACTGGGGCTGGGAAGGTGGCTCAGTGGTAGAGCACTTGCCTTGCATGCATGAGGTCCGGGGTTCGATTCCTCAGCACCACATGAGCAAAAAGAAAAAAGCTGGAAGTGGCGCTGTGGCTCAAGTTATAGAGCACTAGTCTTGAGCTGAAGAGCTGAGGGACAGCACCCAGGCCCAGAGTTCAGGCCCCACCACCAGACCCAAAAAAGATAAATAAATAAAAAATAAAGGAGATTTACTGGAAGAAAAGCATAGGTTAACTTTTTATTCAAAATCTGGTCTAGAAACTAAATTCTGTCATCATCACGGCTGTGGGACAATAGGATCAGGGAAAAAATTGAGACTTGGGCTTTTCAAGGAATGCTGGTATTGCCGCCAGTACTCTAGCACTACAGACCATTTCCATATCATGCTCCATTTCACAACCTTGAAGATATTAATTTAATCTTTAAAACTTTCCTTGCTTAGATTAAGATTGGGTTTTTGAAATGTGTTCCCAAATAATTTATGCAGGAGAAAAATGCTGAATACTAATTTGAGAATGATCTATTTTCTATAATCATTTTACATTTCATCCCCCTACTGAAAAAGTTCCGATCTTGGTTATTTTTTTCCTTGCTTTCATTTCCTGAAGGAGAGATTTTCATGTACTATGATTCAATATTATTAGTCACACAATCCAGCGTTTATTAAAATTCTATTTCCTTCTTTCTCTGAGAATGTAAGCTACATCAATCTGATACAATACAGATATGCAAGGAAAAGACTTGTCTTCAGATACTAATTTTCAACTATTATCAAGTAGGAGGACTAATTTCCTGCAATGCCTAGAAATACCAATGTTCTACTAAGATTATTTCTAGAAATAGTCATTTTGGGTCAATATTATTTATTTTTATATATCTTCTCTGTTTAAAAAATATTTTTATAAAGGTGACATTCAGAGGTTACAGTTACAAAATTCAGATAAAGAATACAGTTTTTTGCACAATGTCAACCCTTCCCTCCATTTCTTGCAGTTTTCCCTCTTGTCCCCATCCACAACTTGCTTAGTTCATTTTCAACATAGTGTTTAGTGAGTACCACTACTGTATTTGTTCACCCTTTTCCCCTCCATTTCTGTTCCCTACTTCCTCTCCCAAAGAAAGATAAAGAAGACAAAAAGAAAAGAAAACAAAAACAGCACCAAAGGAAAAAAAATCTCTTGTTTCCCTTTTCTGCAGTTCATTTAGAGATTATTTTCTGTGTTCAGAGGCACACAGGCATTGCATCTTTGTGTTCCGTCCTACGAATACCCTCCTTCAGTCTTACTGTGTGTGACTGCCTAGAGTCCTGTATAATTTATCATGTTCCTGTGTATTTTAGACCTAGCTTCTATATATGAGAGAAACATGCACTGTTCTCTATTTTATTTTATTTTCCTAACCATTTCATTGAAGTTTTGCAGTTCTTTTAAAGGCATTATTATAAATCAGACAATTTTAAGTATTCACTCAGGCTTGTACCAGGGTATGGTTATTGAAGAGCAGACATAAATTTAAAAGAGGCAGTTAAATTACCCTTGGGTAATTCAAGATTGCTTTCTAAATAAATGAAGCAAATAAACAGGTAACAGCATTTAAGGAGGAGATCACGGGCATATAGTTACATCCAGTGAATAATTAAAAACATATTCATTTTAAATTACTAAGTTCTCTCTATGTATTTATTTGTTGGCTATGTAGAGTTTCCTTCTAGATTTTACTTTATGTGAAACACACACACACACACACACACACACTCTTGTGGTAGTTTCCAACATGGTTGCTCTGAGCACCCTTTCTTATGCCAGGATCTATTATCCATGGTAACAGGGTTGGTCAGTAAATAGTAACATTTTGGGCTTAAAATTTCACCTATTATATGTTAACTTCCTACTAACATAGATGAGGATGCACATCTCATCAATTCATTCCCACCAAACACCATACATGATGGTAAATCTACCCAATATTTCAAACATTTACTCTTTATGTCAAATTTTTAAAAAGCCAATTTCAGTGCTTTCACTGGTAATGATTTCATAAATATTAACTACAGATAAGTCACTAACTCAATCTCAGTATTTTCATTGCTAATGACTATATAAATATTTTCTTTTTTTAACCAATCTTTATGTATTTATTCACACATTTGATAAAAAGATCACAGTTAAGAGCAAAATCATTACAATGATGTAACTGTACAGAATCCAATTACTGTAAGTCAGAAGATGAGGCAGCCTCAACCACTTAACACCGGTGTAGACTCTCACACACACAACTGTTCACAACCACAGGCGCTAAGTTCACACATGCCCAGAGAATTTTCTCTTGTTTCTGTCAGGTCCCAGGGGAGAGAAATGGTGATAAAAAGATGCCAGACTGCTCAATGCAACTCTGCTCTGCAAAACAGCTCCGAGAAGAGACGAAACACTGGGGCTTTCGTTGTTTCCTTGGCACATAAGTGAATAAACAACTAGAAGGTCAAGGAGGTGTTTAATTAGTCAGGTTTAGGTTCCTTTCAACACCACAACAGGATAGCAAGCAGGAAAAAAAGAAGAAACTCCAGAAAAAAAGGAGGAGGATTTAAAATTTGATCCCCCATTCTCCCAAAAGACTGTGCATGACTATAAGGAAAACCAGTGAGGCCAAGCAGTACCATCTGGTACCATCCCAACAGTGTGGCCTACTTTTGTTTCAGTTCTGAAGAGGGAAGGAAAATCTTTTTAAAGGAAGAAACCACATTCCCACTGCACTGAGTTTGAGGTATGACTGCATCTGTTCATCCACACAGCTTGCCTACAGTTCTGAAAGCTCTGAGGAGGGGTGCAGCCTACATTTCTCTTGCATTTAGCCTTCTGAGGACAAGTCAATTCAGTAGCTGGGGAAATGCCTGAACCAAAACAATGTATTTTCTAGTCAGAATAGCTTTGGCGAGAAAGTGCTCAATTCCCCCAAGGCCTTTTTAATAGAAATATTAAAAAAAAATTAAATGTGATTTTTTTGTGCATTTCACTGACCCTGTCAAAGGAACGAGTGATACAGAAAGCTGTTATCTAAAAGGGCTCATTTCTAGTGTTTTTGGCAAATGGCTAAGGCTGGCAAAGAAGCAATGATCCAAAGAATATAGCTTTGAGTGGGATAGTATTCTGCAAAAGGAGAAATTTCTTGGTATAAACTTCATGTCCCTAAGGATAAAAGGTGAGGACAAGGCACTTAACATGACCAAGTATCATTCACACCCATTCACACTAGACAAGTTACCAAGAGTACTCCCAGTGACCCCCTCATAAGAAATGACCAGCCAACCACACCTTCCAGGCGATTTGCAGAATGGAAGGAAATCCAAGCACTGCACAACTAATGGTAAGATATGGAATGTCAGCAAGGAAACTACTTGGAAGAAGCAGATGGAAATCATCCCCTCCTGGCCTGAGGTGAAAGGTTTGTTCCAGACTAGCTCAGAGAAACACTGAATCTCAAAATGGTTAGCCTGAGAATTTGACAATGTCTCCACAGTGCTGCCTTCTCTGTTTGCTAGAGAGCAATAAGGGCTCTGAATAAGATCAAGACTCCAGTTAGCGAATTATCCTGCATTGGTGGTTACAGCAGACGCCTTCTAATACATGTGGCGTATGGACTGAGACAGGGTTAGAAGTGTCTGTCTATCCTTATCCCAAAGTCTTTCAGGCATATTCAATCTGAGCAGGGCTATGCCTACCCCCAGTCTTCCACTCAGAGGACTGGGAAGTGGCCTTGGCCTCACTGTTCATTTCTAGAGGCTTAGCCGAGATGTAGTCCTTCACTTTGATCTCCATGTTCTTGGCTTTCAGAGTGGCAATGTGAAGCTTTTCCAGGAAATCTGGCATGCCGCTGGAAACCATCCAACTAACACAATAGCGAGGAAACACAGTCTGGGGATTGTCACTGTATGTCAACAAGTAGTCAAAGCTATTCTCATCAAATGACTTGTGGGGACGGATAACCATTTGGGATTCATAGGATCTGACCCTCACAAATTCTGGAGACTCTGGCACAATGGGGTGTTGTACAGCAAGTGACACCAACACCATCACATTGTTCTCTTGATCCACATAATCCCGAGAGTACATCGGATAAGGGAAATGGGTTACCCAGTGAAGAACCTCAGAACCACTAACCACGTCAATTACCTCCAGCTTGATCACCAGAGATTCCCACTTTTTTCTATACTTTGTGTCCAGCTGAACATTGAAGAACTGCCAAGGTGTCACATCTGTGTAGGTTCCAAAAACTCGGTACTGGTAAAGATGGGTGCCAATAATTGGGCGCCGCCACAGTTTAAAATGTTTTTTATCCATCGCCGTTTCTCATGGTTCCTCTTTGTCCTTTAAATCTTCATTCCCTTCTGTTTGGGATTTTGATTCTGGAGGGTGATGCTCGACTCCAGAGCTCTGAAATATGCATGACACGTCCTCCAGCCGTTTCATTTCTTTAATGGATCTCTGCAACTCCTCCTCCTGGATCCTCTCCTCATCCCACACGAAGACACCAGCAAGCGCCGCCATCAAGGCAGAGGCATGGCCCGGGCAGGTGTCCGAGCAGGACGCAGCGCGAGCTCTCGGAATACAGGCGATCTGGTGCGCGTATATAAATATCTTCTACAGATGAGTCACTAATTCTTTTGTTATACTCCACACGGTTTAGGTTTCATTAATGGTAATTTCCTGGTCCTATTTTGTTTCCATTTCCATTCTATAGGCAAATACATTATCCTCAAAATCTGCAAACAAATTAGAAATTTCATAATAGACATACTCCTGTGAGAACTTACAATACTCTTGATTTTACATAGATTGGTCATTCTGAGGGCCTGGTAGTAAGTACCTATGATTAATACACTGGTTGCTAGATCCAACTTCTCTTCTTTGTGATTTCCATAGTAATTTTTTTCTGCAGAATTTTTTTTCTGTAGAAGTTTCTAGAAAATGATTATTTTGAAATATTGAAGATTGAAATATTTAATACCATACTATATCAATGAGACATAGAGTTCAAGCTTGGGAATAATGTTCCTTCAGTATTTTCTAGAAATGTCTCCAGTGTTTTCTAATTTCTACAAATATCTCCACTGAAAAGAGCCCTCCTAATATTCAGTTCTCTGTATTGTGAAATTTCTTGTTTCTTTTCAGAAAAAACTTAACTTTTCTCTTTATTTTCTTCTTCTGGAAGGCTATTCTCTAGCCAATCCATTTTCCATGTATCCATTATACTTGATGCCTGGTTTAGAAACACATGCTTCTAAAATACAGAAAATGTTTTGTATTATTTTAAAAATGATTTCAATATTCTTTAGCCTTTCTTTTTGTAATTATTTTGGTGTTTATAAATTTGTATTTGTTTTTATTTTATAGTTTGATATATACTCACATTTTTTTTTCTGTAGTGGCTTTAACTTTCCTTAAAAACATTTGTACTGATTATGAATTCTTTTTATAGCATCTGTCATTAACCATTGAATTTGTAAATGAATATTAAAAATATTCTTCTGATGCTTTTATTTGATTTCTACTTTTCCAGGGTTCTCTTACTATCATCTTCTCCATATTAGAAGTCATACTGGCATGCCTGAGGATCACTGAATATTCATTCACATTAATGAGAGATTAAGTCATCTAGAAACTCTTTTGTGTAAACCTAGTTTAAGAAATGGCTTTAGCCATTTCCTCTAAACTCAGGAATGAGACAAGGATGTCTAATGTCCACTCTCTCCACTTCTCTTCAATATAGCATTAGAATGCCTAGCTACAGCCATAAGAAAAGATGCAAACATAAAAGGGATCCAAATAGGGAAAGATGAAGTAAAACACTCCCTCTTTGCAGATGACATGATCTTGTATTTAAAGAATCCCATGGACTCCATTCCCAAATTACTCAAGCTGATTCAAAATTTTGGCAAAGTAGCAGGGTATAAAATTAACCCTCAAAAATCAATGGCTTTCACTTATACAACCACTTTGGAAAGCAGTCTGGAGGGTCCTTAGAAAGCTAAAGATTGACCTCCCTTACGACCTAGTCATACCACTTCTGGGCATCTACCCTGAAAAACAGGAACCAATATATAAGGACACGTGCACCTCCATGTTTATTGCAGCACTGTTCACAATAGCTAGGATATGGAAACAACCCAGATGCCCCACCACAGATGAATGGATCCAAAAATTGTGATATCTATACACAATGGAATATTATGCAGCCATTAGAAATGACAAAATAATGGCATTTGCAGGGAAATGGATGGAGCTAGAAGGAATCATATTGAGCGAGGTAAGCCAAGAGCAAAGAGACAAATGGTACATGGTCTCCCTGATAAGTGGATGCTAAATCCAAAATGTTAGGTTATACGACAAAACTAACAGGACTTAAGAAACAAAGAACTTCCACTCATCTGGTTGAACCACTACTAAATATCCCCATGCTGCTGATCACATGTATGGTGTATAACATGTGAACACCGTTATATGTTATAGACTGTGATAGACAATTTGCTCCAGGAAAGTTAGAATGAACTTGTGACTTTAAATGAGCATCATTATTCCACAATACTGTGAAATTTTGGAAATTATGTAATCACTAAATCACAATCAAAAAAAAAAAGAAACTCAGGGAAGGTAGGGAGGGAAGGGATGGTAGGGGGAAAACAATGGAGGGGGTAACAATGTTCAATAGGAAGTGTACTCATTACCTCACTCATGTAACTGTAACCCTCTGTATAGTATCTTTACAATAAAAAAAATCAATGGCTTTTCTGTATGCCAACAATGAGAAGAGTGCAGTTGAAATCAGAAAGCAATTCCATTTGTAATAGCCCCCCCCAAAAAAAATAAAATACCTAGGAATTAACCAAAGTGAAGGACCTCTATGATGAAACTTTAAAAAACTGAAAAAGGAAATCAAAGCAGAACTTAGAAAGTGGAAAAACCTCCATTGATTGGAAAGATAAATATCATGAAAATGGCTATACTTCCCAAGGCTATCTATAAATTCAATGTGATACCGATCAATATTCCAACCTCATTCTTCAAGGAAATAGAAGAGGCAATCCAAAAATTCATATGGAACAATAGAAGACCCAAAATAACAAAATTGATCCTTAACAGAAAGAACAGTGTTAGAGGAATGTCAATACCAAGTTTCAAACTCTACTACAAAACCATAGTAATCAAAACAGTTTGGTACTGGCATAAGAAGAGACCTCAGAACTAATGGAATAGAATTGAAAACTCAGAAAGGAACCCACAGACCTATAGCCACCTAATCTTCAATAAGGGAGCTAAAAAAATAGAATGGAAGAAAGACAGCCTCTTCAGTAAATGGTGCTGGCAAAATTGGTTAATGACCTGTAGAAAAACTATAGCTATCAACTCCAAATGGACCAAAGACCTCGGAGTTAAAAGAGACACCCTGAAAACATTATAAGAAGGAACAGGAGAAACCCTAGGTCTCCTTGGCACAAGCCAACATTTTCTTAATAGAGACCCAGAAACACAACAAAACAAAGAAATGTTGGACAAATTGAATTGCATGAAGCTGCAGAGCTTCTGCATGGCAAAGGACATAGCTAGCAAGAACAATAAAAAGCCCATGGATTGGGAGAAGATTTTCACTAGCCATACAATGGACAAGGTCTCATATCTAAAATATACTTGGAACTCAAAAAATTAAATCCCCCAACAACAAATCCTCAAAGAAACAATTGCCCAATAAATAAGTGGGCTAAAGACTTACATAGAAACTTCTCTGAAGAGAAAATAAGAATGGCCAATAGACATATGAAGAAAGGCTCAACCTCTCTAGCCATAAAAGAAATACAAATCAAAACAACATTGAAATTCCACTTCACCCCAGTTAGAATGTCTATAATCAAGAACTCTAATAACAGCAGATGCTGGAGGGGATGTGGACAGAAGGGAACCTTACTGCATCGTTGGTGGGAGTGTAAACTTGTTCAACCACTTTGGAAAGCAGTATGGAGGTTCCTGAAAAGAGCACACATAGAACTCTCCCCCACTTTTGGTTATTTACCCAAACGATCCCAAAAAAGGCCATACTAAGGCTACCAACACAACAATGTTTATTGCAGCATTATTCTCCATAGCTAAGATATGGAATCAACCCAGATGCCCCACAGAAGATGAATGAATCAAGAAAATGTGGCACCTATATATATGGATATATACATATATATAATGCAACTTTTTTGACTCCATCAGAAAGAATGACATTGCCCCATTTGTTAGGAAATGAAAAAAGTTATAAAAAATTATATTAAGTGAAGTCAGCCAGGCTCAAAGAAACATAGGTCCCATGGTTCCCTTATTTGCAATAACTAGTATATGTCTGGGACAAGTAGAAAAGGTAAACAGCTATGTACATATGACCAGATAAGATGGAGTTAAGCAAAATTAACCCCAATATAGGAGGAAGCAACAATGCTCAATAGGAAAGGTACTCATTACCTTACTCATGTAACTGTACAGTATTTTTACAATAAAAAAGTATTAAAATTGCCTTTAAATGGAGATCAGCAGATGGTACAGTACTGTTATGATATTGTTTAATTTTTAATCCTCTGTATATCCTCTTGGACCTTTGTGACTCTCTGAAATACTTTTCCCTTGCTACAGAGTGACTCATTGTGAGGTTTATATAACAATTATGGGCTTGGGCTGGGAAGGTAGTTCAGTGGTAGAGCGCTTGCCTTGCATGCCTGAGGCCCTGGGTTTGATTCCTCAGCACCACATAAGCAAAAAGAAAAAAAGCCGGAAGTGGCGCTGTGGCTCCAGTGGTTAGAGCGCTAGCCTTGAGCTGAAGAGCTGAGGGACAGAGCCCAGGCCCAGAGTTCAGGCCCCACGACTGGGCCAAAAAAAAAAAATTATGGGCTTGTTATGTTGTACAAACCCATGGGGCTTGAACTATGGGCTTGTGCGCTGTCCCTGTGCTCTTCAGCTCAAGGCAAGCGCTCTACCACTTGAGCCACAGCGCCACTTATCATGAGGCTTTTGCCATGGATTTTTCTTAACTAAAATTGCCTTGTGTGACCAATAAGCAATGAATGTGAAGCTGACATTTCTGAGCCCGATCAGATAACACTAGATTGTATTTACTTATTTTCAAATATGTGTACCATCTGTGATTCCATTTTTTTTTAGATTTGTGGTTACAGCTCAAGGACTATAGATGTGAGAAGGAATCAAGCAAATTCTGAATATAGAATGCATTACAAGCATGAGATAGAATTTAACCATGAGATGTGGAAAGGAAATAAATTCAGGAAAATAAATGCATATTCAATTCTCCACCTTTAAGTTCCAAACTTTGTCGATTTTATAAGAAAACTTTGTCTATTTTGTAAGAAAACTAAAACTGGAAGCCTGGCATTTCTGTAACCAACTCCTAATCAATATTTGTTCTGGAACCAGGATAACTCCATCTAATCTCCAGATCAACAAACAAGAGCTCGATATTAAAATTTAAGGCAACCTTAAGTTTTGATATAATCAAAGCAATGGAGAAATGAACTTCAAAGATGAGATTCCTAACAT